GGCTAGGGGTATAGTTCAACAGTAGCGTATGCAAGTCATATTCACGAGGCCCTAGGTTCCATCCCTAGCTTCCCCAGAATTAAATAAAATTACTTTAGTGGGAAAGCCTTTCTAAACATAACAAAACTCCAGAGTTCTTGAAAAATTGAAAGACTGGGCAAATTTCATCACAAGCAAAGTTCAAAGATAACAACCAACTAGAATAAATATGTACAATTTATGACAAAGGGCTAATTTCTTTCATATAAATCACTAAGAAAAGCTGACCCTTATAGAGACATTAGCACATAACATAAACAGAGAGTTAAGGGAAACATGAAGGGGTGCCCAACCTCACTGCAAGTAAAAGACATGGAAATCACTGGGGGGGGGGGCTTTGTTATAGGAGGAAGGTGCGGAGGGTGGGGTACAGTAAGCTGTTACAGTCATTTAGCAACTCGCCTTCGATTCTTGAAGCTTTTACTTCTAGATCACTATATGCAGGCTTGAATACTGGACCTGCCATATTTCTTGATGATTTCAGTATTTATAAAGATCATCTTTTCAGCCAGGTGTGGTGGTGCACGCCTTTAATCCCAGTACTTGGGAGGCAGAGGCAGGCAGATCTCTGTGAGTTCTAGGCCAGCCTGGTCTACACAGTGAGTTCCAGACTAGCTGGGGTTACTGGGAGTCCCTGTCTCAAAAAAAAAAAAAAAAAAAAAAAAATCATCCTTTCGGTTCTCTCCTCTCCATTCCTTGAACATTTTTGTTTCCTACTGACATTGTCCCCACCTTTCCCTGGCCATATGTTATCAAAAACCTTGAAATAATCCTACCTATAGGAATCCCATTCTGTAACTCTTTCTAACTTGCAGCTCAACTCCTGTCCAGTCACCTGACTCCAACAATTCTTTGGTCCCATCTGAACCTATATCCACTCCCCCATACTCCTCTCCTTAGTCAATTTAAGTTCTGCTTCATCTTTGTAAATCTTTGTAAATACTACCTTTTTTTTTTTTTTTGGTCTTTTTGAGACAGGGCCTCTCTGTAGCCCCAGCTAGCTTGGAACTCACAGGCTGGTTTGCCTGCCTCTGCCTCCCAAGTGCTGGGATTAAAGGCATGTGCCGCCACGCCCAGCTGCTTTTCACTTTTTTATCCTTCCCAGTTTCATTGTGCTCAGCTGACAAACCCCTACCCGGTATAGCCCAAGACTGCCAAAGAAAGTTCTTACTAAATTTATGACCACAAACCTCAGATAGGCCTGGTAACCACATGAGATTTCTCCAGACCACTCATTCTTCTAGACAACCATTTCATGTTCCTACCATCTCCCTCCCCATCACCTGTTGACCTTTCTATCTCACTAAGAAAACAAAGCAATCCTAGAACAAAACCAAAAAGCAATCAGAAGATAATGTCACAAATTCCCATGTTAACCCACTTTGGAGTTCGTATTCTCTGCCTCCCTTCCTTCCCTGAATGAATGGTCTGTGCTCCCAGCTAAAACCAGTTTCTCTACCTGTGCACTAGATCCCATCCCTTTTGACAATGAAGGACATTACTGTAGCAGTTCTCCCTTTTCTTGTATCACCACGGTCCCCTTCCCTACTGGATGTCTCTCATCAGCAAATCAATAACCTAGAGTTTTCCTTGTCCTGACATTGTGCTCCAGCCACCACCCTGTTCCTATGATCTCTTTTTAAAAAATTTTTTATTTATTATTTTATGTGTATGTATTTTATGTATTATTTTATGTTATGCCTGCATGTATGTAAGTGCGCCCATGTCATCCAATACCTGCGAAGGCCAGAAGAATGCATCAGGTCCCCAGGAACTGGACTTACATATATTTGTTAGCTGCCATGTGGGTGCTGGGAACCAAACCCAGGTTCTCTGGAAGGGTAGCCAGTATTCTTATCTGCTCAGTCATGTCTCCAGCCCCCTCTGATCTCTTTTAAGTTGTTCTGCAGTTGTTTCTAAACTTTCCTGTCCCATTCTGTCTTAGATACACCCCCTCAACTCCACTGGAAATGTTCCTGTTGAGGTCACCAATGTCCTAAACATTGCAAAATCTAATGATCAATTCTTGAACAGTTTTTGACACAGCCGTCTACTGCCTTCTTTTGATATTTTCTAATCTAGGCTCTAGGACATGACACTGCCCTGGTTTCCCTCTTACCTCACTGGCAGCTTCTGTTCATTCTCCGTTGCTGGTTCCACAGTTCTATGACATCTAAATACTGGACACCTCAGGATCTATCGCTAACAATCTTCTGTGTTCTATCAACACTCATTCCCTCAATGATTTCATTCATTCAAATTTTATGCAGCCTGCATGTTTCCCTAGGATCTACCCTTCTCAACATCCTACCTGGGTGTTCAGCAAGTATCTTAAGCAAAGTATGGCTAAAACCAAACTCTCAATTTTTTAACCTACAAACTTGCTCTACCCAAACTCTTTTTCTTTTTAAAATGAACTCCAACTGTTCAAGTTATCAGATGTAAAACCCTGTAGAGGTCTTTGGATGTGATCTCTTTAACTCTGTCCCTGATTTTCTTCCTTCTCTCCTTGTATAACAAAATCCAGACACTAAACCAGCTGACGTAGTATATGCTTGTCATCCTAGCACTCAGGGGATTGAGGCTAGAAGACCATGAGTTCTTGGCAAGCTTGGGCTATACAGCAAGGCTCTATCTCAAACAAAACAAAAACAACTCAAAATAAAAATCAAATACTTCTAGACCAGGTGTGGTGGTGTCCTCCTTTAATTCCAGCACTCGGGAAGCAGAGGGTATCGAATCTCTCGGAGTTCGAGGCCAGCCTGGTCCATATAGCAAGTCCCAGGCCATTTGGGGCTACAGGGAGGACTAGTCTCAAAACAAACAAACAAACAAACCTCCTAAAATCAAATACTTCTTATAAGTCCCCTCTCCATACAAATTTACTTCCTGGTCTTAGCCATCATCATCTCTCATATCACAATCATGGCTTTACAGCTTTCCTAGCTCATCTACCTGTCTCCTATAAGAATTCATCAGCATGGCAGTTAGAGTGTTATGAGTCAAGTATATTAGTTTTTCTCATTCTTCTCAAAACTCCCCAAGGCTTCTATGTTCTTCAGAATAAAAGACAAAGTTCTTTCACTGTTACAAGTACAGCCCGTGTGATCTAGGCCTTCCCACTGCCCCAGGCACCACTTTTGAAATAACATCCTCTACCCGCTCCCTGACTGCGGTCACGGTCACGTGGGCCTCCTTGCTGTTCCTTAAGGACAAAGGACACATTTCTGCTAAGAACATTCTTCCTCTAGATACAAACATGGTTTGCTCCTTTATTTCCTTCAGGTCTCAGCTTAAATTACATATTTTTAGTGAAGACTTGAACACTCTAAGACCGCAGTACTCTCTTCCTAGGTATTCTCTGAGCTTTCTTGATGGCTTGTTTTCTCCTTAGTGTTAGTTAGTATCATCTCCCGTGCTATATGCTTTGTTCACTTTGTTAGATTATAGCTATCTCCCTTTACCAAACTATAAGTCCAAGAACACAAAGCTTTTTTTGGTTACTGCTTTAATTCATAGCACACAGAAGAGAGCAACACAGAGAAATGCTTAAAAATTACTGAATAAATAAATACTTGATTGGCTGGAGGGTGGGAGACAAGGGTTCTCAAAATTACTGATATGAATGCAATTGATATAATCTCCACAGGTCAATTGACAATAACGACCAAAATTATAAATGTATGTGTCTCTAGCCTAGCAACCCTCCTAATAAGGTTTTCCACATACATTTACATATATGTGAAATAACATATGGATAAAATAATTTGTTTTTTTTAAATCCCTGAAAACAGCCCAAATATCCAGCAACAGCAGACAATTTAATGAACTTCCAGTATATACATATAATAATGAATCTTTTGCAGTAGCAAAAAAAAGACTGCTTGTGTCCTGATATAAATTCCCAGATATATTCTTTGGTTTTTTAATTTTTAATTTTCTGGTCTTTTTGATACAGGATCTCCCTGTAGTCCCAGCTGTCCTGGAACTCTCTCTGTAGATCAGGCTGGCCTTGAACTCACAGAGATCTGCCTGCCTCTGCCTCCCGAGTACTGGGATTAGAGGTGTGATGCTTTTTAAAGAAAAAATACTGAAAAATATGTTTAATATGCCATTATTTTCATAAAATGAAGGGAATGATACAAAAAGAATACAGCGCACACCTCCATTTCTTCGTATGTGTACAGAACATCTTAGAAAGGACACACAAGAAACTGGTGACAATGGCTGCTTATTTGAAGGGGAAAGGGATGCCTGGGAGATAGGTGGAAGATGTTTCTTATTACTCCTTTTAACATGATCCTTCTGAATTCTAGAATCTTGTGAATGTTTTATTTACTAAAAAGAGAGTAAGATATGGCTATGTTCTTGTATGGAAAAATATTTAAGATACATTGTTTTTAAAGAGCAACGTGCAAGGGCGTGTACAGTGTACAGTGTGCTCATGGGGACAGCACACTTCACCCCTCATTTGTGCTTTTCCATCTTTTGGATTTTGTATGCATTTCCATGAAAAAGAAATATATAATTTAAAAAATAAGACCCAAGGCGAGAACGTATGTTTTCTCATGAATCACCCCGGAAGTCCTAAGACAGCACTTTTCCAGGGAAGGAAACTTGGACATTCAGAGAAGCCAAGTCAAACAGCACAGAAAAGCAGAGATTTCCCCACTGCAGCCCATGCTGTCTGCAGCCTCTCCCTGGATGCTACTTTGCAGGCTCCCATCATTACCCATACTTCCTATAATATCCTTGGTCTTCTATGTGTCAGGAACTACAGCTCTAGAAAGTTTATCACAGAGACTTCCCTCAGCAGGCCACAGTTGGCACCTCTCTGGTCCCTTAGGAGTATCTCACTGGGCTCAGAGTCACTCACATACTGCCCCAGGGGCAGGGGGGGCCCTCTCTGTTTTTCCTTCTGTCCTGCACGCTCAATCCAGGCACCCTCCCCAAGCCTGTACCTGTCAATAATGACTGGGTCTGAAGGCGTCTCATTCCGATTACCACAGCTCTTGCGGTCACAGCACCGGCTGAAGGAAAGAGGAGCGCAAAAGTGAAGCAGTGAGAGAAAGGAGTGTGAGTGCCCCAGTGAGAGAGGGTGCGGAAGCTCTTTTTCTGGGTATGGTATTCCTATGTGCAAGGTTCACTCCCGGGGGTTAGGGAGGAAGGCAGGGAGGGTCTTGGCAGCCTAGTAGTAGGGATGTGGTTAGCCATGTAATCCTTGCCCCACCAGTGCACTGCTGCTGGAGCACTGAGGACAGGACAAAAAGCAGGCCACCTACAGAGTGTTTCTCACTGTTAGGTTTTCAGATTGTAAATATGCAGCTCATGGATGATCACAAAGTAAACCTTCCCCTGTAAGCCATTTCCAGACCCAGGCCTGCTCCATGCCCATTAATCCTCCTTGAGCCATTCCATGTCACACTCTTCTCAAGGGTGGCCACTGTCTCAACCACAAGTTCTTAAACACTATTTTCTCTCCCAAGCATCAGGAGCTGCCTCAGAGGCCCTGTACAACTGGCATCTCCAGGGGAGCCAGGAAATACTGAGCTCTGGGTAGGGGGAAGGGAAGCTAAAAGCTTCATCCTCCTCCCTGCCCCAAGCCTATCTGAACTAACTGTCCTGCCCAGCAGCTCTCACCAAGGCAGAGAGGCTTCCTAAATCCCCAGCCCTGCCCCCACCTCCCCAGAGAGCTTGTCCCTTGGGCTTTATTAGTTAAGCTTCCAGGAGCAGCAGGAGGCATCTTTTGCAAAAACACTTGGAGAAGTCACATAAACAGGCTAGGCTAATGGGGCCTCAAGGACCCTCTCTCCTGCCCATGCTGTGCCCAAGGGCCTCGCCCCTCCCCTGCCCAAGCTTCTCCAGGGAGCTGGGGGTGCTGTGAGATACAGCAGGGCCTGACAGGGAATCTGGGCTACATCTTGACAAGAGGCAAGGCGTAGGTGACATAGCCCATCTTACCTGCACATGATCTCATGAGTGAGCAGTACTCGGCACATTTCAGGGTTCTTGTCCTGCCCCTCATAGATGATAGCCTAGGGGAGAGGGAAGTGTGCAGGCTGCAGAGAAGGAGGCTCCTCTCAAGTTCGGGTGGCAAGCAAAGGTGGACCTGTGGATCCACACTGGTATCTCCTAAACCCAGGCCCAGGGGAGGCCTTACCCAGGGAAGATCATGTTCTTTGCTTTGCTCTGGGGAGTCCAGGGGTGCAAAGCAGGAAGTTGGAGCCTGGTTGCTCAAGTGGCGATCTCCCATATCCCCAAACTAGGACCATCACCATGGAGGCAAGAATGGCATGAGGTCTGCGGACTCCCTGCTGGTAGGGCAGATATGCTCCTAGCTCCAGCCTACATCATGCTCCTCCCTGACCCACCCTGCATCCTCCTCTGCACAGGCTGTTCTGTGCTCCTAGTGGGCTCTGCTTCTGCTTCTGTGGACTGTCCCTCTCAGTGAGTCCTTCCAGCTAATAAAACCCATAGGCCACAAAGCTGCCTCAGGCCAGTGTATCACATTGTAGCCCCTCTTCCCTAGTCTCCCAGTGTCCCTCTGCCCTGAGCAAGAAGTGAGTTTTCCAAACTGCAAATCTCTCTTCCTAGTCTGTTACCCTCTGGGTCTCCCAGCCTTCCTCCACTTGTGGACCCTTTTTTCTCTGAGCTCCCACACTCATGTCTCACATAGTCTTATTTTGCCATTGCTTGGTCTGCCTCTCCTACAGGCTTTCTGGACATAAACTGTTCTTTCTTTGCCTTGGGACTAGGTGGAGGCTACTAGAAACTTCTGGCCCTACAAGTGTGTGCAAGTTGCCACATTTCATTCCAGGGCTACTAATCTGGCCCATTTACAACTCCAGCCCCTTCTGACCAGCATGTTCAATGTTTATGAAAAGACTTGAGACTCAGACCTGCCTCGCGGAGTCCATCAGATTTCAGTTTCCCGAGATGCTTTTGCTAGTGCCAAGCCCTCTTCCTGGGATCAGCAGGATGTTGAGTCTGCAGTGCAACCCCTTTTGCAGTTAGTGGTGACTGTGAAGGTCTTTGTCTTGAGAACTGTTCTCAGTGGAGCTGCCTCTACTGTGTTCATTTGCCTAAGGAGTGGTCCCCAGCTAAGGACTGACTGATACAAGTGAAAAATGCTGGTCTCCTTGTTTGAAGGAAGCCAACTCTGGAGCCATTCCTTTTCTAGTGATCTCTGTGGATCAGGCTGAGGCTGGACTCCACCTGCTTGCGGAGTGCCTTCCTGCCCAGCTCTTCTTCCTCTCCTCCTGAGGAGCCCTGACAAACTACATGCACTTGATTTTCTGTCTAAGGTGATGTTGCTAGGGACTATGACCTAAACCCTGGTCTTTGTACAGACAATTTCTTTTCCAGACTGGAAGAAAAGAGCACAATTTTTCTACCATAGGCAGCGAACTGCGGGAGCTAGACCAGTGAGCATAAAAGGCATAAGGGAGCAGGAGAGGGTCAAGGATGTTCACTCAACCCAAGTGGAGGATACGCCTAAGCATCCCCCAGGCTGGCTCACCTGCTTTGACATGGAGTCAATGAGACGCACATAGAGGTCTTGCTCTGTCCGAAGTCCTAGAGTGGGAAGGTGGAGAGGGCTTGCTGTCAGGGGATCACTGAGATGAATATACTCATGCTCTCCCCAGCCCTGAGGAGGGGCATTAGGTGCCTCAGGGTCAAGGCCAGATTTTTGGTCAAGACCAGAGACTGCTTACCATTGTTATACACCAACCGAAGGCGGTAATGAATCCCATTGTTGGTCTTTTCGGTCCCTGGCTCCTACAAGGACAAGACAGGAGGATGTTCAGGGACCCTCCAACCTCCTTCACCCACACGCTTCTTCACCTATACCCTCCTCCCTAACCCCACCATCCTTCTCTGCCTTCCAGCCATTCACCCATTCTTTTTCATTCATTTATCAATCATTTATCCACTCGTGTGTGTGTGTGTGTACACTGGGGTCCCTGAAGCCCTCCCATCACTCCCAGTGCTAGTCCCAGGACAGCCCATGGGCCTCTTACGCGATCCTTTTCCACAAAGTCGATGAAGGCTGTGCGCTCCACCTCCACGGGCTGTCCCTGTCGGTCGTACATGGCCAGCACGAAGTGGAAGAAGTTGGACTTCCTGAGGTTGGAAGGGGGCTGCTTTTCAAAATGTGCTCGTGCCAGGCCCACGCCACTGTGGGAGGAAAGGAACTGGAAAACCACTGGAAGGTTCCTTGGGTGAGAAAGACACCAATGACTCTGGCCCCGATTAGGTGGCTAGCCAGGACTGGGCTTCGACATGTCAAGAGTTTGGGCAAGAAAACAAATTAGACCAGGACCATAACAGTTCCAGAAAGAGACCTCCCAGCACTGAGGCCACCTCAGCTTGCTCCCTTGGGAGCAAGGGGCACCACAGGTGCTGCATGGAGTCATCTAACCATCTCTTCTCACTGTAGGCTTTTCCTAATATGGAAGCTGCGTATTAGGTCATCAAAGGGTACCTCTGAAGTTGTACAACAAATTTCCCACTGAACCCCAGACTGCAGCTTCTGTGAGCTTATCCACCAGGCTATCAGAGACACTGAACTGGTTTCCCGGCTACTAGTCTGCCCAGCCTGGACCTTGGGCTATGGCTGAAGGTGGAGAGTAACCTTCCTGGTATAGTGAGACAAAACTCCAATTTCAAGAAGTATAGCATGGGTCCTGGGCAGGAGGACCTCCTAGACTGGCTTTAAGAAAAGGCTTTCTCCTGACTCATCAGAAACCTTGCTCAGAAGCAAGGCCAGGCTAAGAGCAGGAGGAAGAGTTTAGGAAGGCCTCATTCACCAGATTGCTCCTAAACTCCAGTGGGGCACTGAGCTCTGCAACAGGTGGTGCTGGAATTAAATGCCTGGAAGAAAAGGGAATTCACAGGCAAAGAGCTGGAACACAGGGACAGAGTGGTAGGTGTCCATCCCCAAAATGTCAACATATGAAAGACAAAATAGAAGCTACAGAAGAAAACAAATCTGTTTTGGTTTTTAGTAGTTTTGCTTGTTTTTTGAGATAGGGTCTCACACTGTAGTCTAGGCTGGCCTGGAACTCACTATGTAGTCCAGGCTGGCCTCGAAATTGCTGCGATCCTCCTGCCTCAGCCTCTCAAGTGCTGGGATTGTGATGTGAGCCACCACACCTGGCAAGAAAAAGGATAATAATTCTTTTTGTGGGACATTGGAGAAGACTTCATGGAGGCTGTGGCTTTCCCTGATCCCTAAGGAGAAAGTATGAACTCAACAAGTGGAGAAGGAAGACAACAGAACAAACAGCCCAAGCGATGGCTGTGAGGGCAAGTGTCAGTGGGTCACAGATTTCAAAAAGCCCAACAACGGGCTAGGATGGAGTTCAGTTGGAAGAGGTGGAACTGACAGAAGGCCTGGGTTCAGTCCCCAGCACCTTGGTGCACACCAGTAATCCCAGGACTCCAGAGGTGAAGCCAGGAGGATCAATTCAAGGTCATCTTTGGCTACATAGTGAGTTGGAGGTAAGCATGAGATTCTCAAAGAAAGAAAAAGAGGAAAAAAGAAAGAAAAAAATGGGGCTGGAAGATGGTTCAGTGGTTAAAGCATTTATCATGCGAATGTGATGACCAGGCTTTAGATTTCCAGAACCCACATAAATGCTGGGTGGGTGTGGCAGCCTACCTATAACTTCAGTGCTTGGAAGGCAGAGACAGAGGATCCTCCTGTCTAGCTAGGTGGGCGAGCTCTGGGTTCAGTTGAGAGACTGTACCTCAATGAATAAGGTAGAGAGCAATGAAGGAAAACTCCAGACATCAACCTCAGGTCTCTAAATGCATGTGCACGTATATGCACATGTACACATATACACATGTATGCCCACACACATGCAAACATATATATATACACACACATGCACACCATGTACACATATGCTTGGGAGTAAAAAGTGAAGCAAGGAGAGAAACGTTTTACAGTGGAAGTTCTTGCTGACCATGAAGAGACACAAATACTACGTAAAGTTTAGACTTTCTTCTCTGGGCCAGGTCTTCCAAAGCATATTTCTTAACAAGACTTGTGGCTCCTGATTCTCCCTTTAGAAAAGAGTGCTGTGGTCAACTGCTGGGAAATGTGATTCACAGCACATAGGGGAATTTATGAAAGCCTTGGGACGTTTGTAAGAACAGACCTTGCTTCAGGAGGCTCAGGCCAGTGTTCCCCATGTGTTAGGTGTCCAGACTTCAAGATGATGGTTCCCAAGGATTCAGCCTCTCGAAACTCATGCCCTATTGTGTTACAACTGGTCTGTGTGGCCAGAAGAATATGACAACAATCATAGCATATGACTTCCAATGCTAGATCATAAAAGCACTGTAGCTTCTGTGTTGTTCTTTTTCTTAGATCATCACTCAAGGGAAGTCAGACCAACTGAGAAGGGGTGGCTCAGTTGGTAGAGCACCTGTCTCATAAACATGAAGACCTAAGTTTTGGTCCCCAGAACCTACATAAAAGCTGGGCATGGTGATATGCACTTGTAATCTCAGCAATGATGAGATGGGAGGCAGAGACAGGGGGAATCCCTGGAGCTTGCTGGCCAGCTAGCCTGGCCTACTTGGTGAAGTTCCAGGTCAATGACAGACACTGTCTCAAACAAAAGGTAGAACATGCTTGAGGAATGATATCTGAGGCTGTTCACTGACTTCCATATGCATGCCACACATGTGCCCCCATACATGAACATATACACAAACACGTGCGCATGCGTGCACACACACACACACACACACACACACATATACACACTAGCATCCCAGATGCCCATCGGTATGCCACTGTGACAATAACTACTAAATTAATTCTACTTAATGTTTTGATATTATTCAAAATCAGGAGCCAGCAAGATGAGTCAAGAAGGCGAAAGATGCTCGCTGCTGGCCTGAAAACCTCAGTTCAATCCTAGGAGCCTACATGGTGGAAGGGGAGAACTAAACCCCACAAGTTGTCCTCTTATCTCACTCTACATGTGCACTGTGGCATACACGAGCAACCCCCCACACCAAATAAATGAATAAATGCAAAATAAAAAAATCCTACTTGGCCGGGCGTGGTGGCACACGCCTTTAATTCCAGCACTGGGAGGCAGAGGCAGGCGGATATCTGCGAGTTCAAGGCCAGCCTGGTCTACATAGTGAGTTTCAAGTCGGCTGGGGCTGCAGGGAGACCCTGTCTCAAAAAGACCAAAAAAAAAAAACCAAAAACAAAAACAAAAAACAACCAGAAAACCAACTTATTGTTTTCCTAGGCTTCAAGCTAAGCCACAGTATCTGAACTATCAGGACATGAGGGCTTGCTATGTTTTCATTCATACAGATTATAGAAAATAACAAACAAAAACTTCTTCCCTAAGAATGCATTCTTGGGAGCCACAGTGGCCATGTAAATGGGCAATTTAGGAGGCAGAAGCAATGGATCTTCTTGTCTCCAGATGAAGATGGCAAGGAGGGGCCACCAACACTCTACCCTACCCAAAGTTCCTTTCTCCAGGGCTGTCATCCTCCTCTATTCTTCCCCCATTCCCTCCCTGCCAGGCTGCAGTCCTTTCAAGTGCAGGACTTGACCACCCTTGGTCCCCTTCTCAACCTGGTTGGTAGGCAGGGAAGCCTGAAGAGGGCTTTTGATCACAGCAGGTCTCTGATTACTATGGATGAATATGCTAATGAGACACCAACTCTGAGCTCTACCTTCCTGCTCACAGGGCCAGCTTAGTTTGAACTCTACCAGGTTTCAAGGACCACAAAGTGAAAAACGACTAAATGGGGTGGCCTTATGGAGCAATCCCATCACTGATACCTTTATTCTCTCATTCTGAGTCTGAGAGGTTCTCAGACAGTGGGGAAGAAGAGTGGAGAGCAATAAAGGCCTTGGTGGGGAAGAGGATGCTGAGAAACAACAGCTCCAGACGGCTCCACATGCTCTTTCCAAGCAAAAGCTCTTGCTTTGCTCAGGCCAAATGCCAAGCTGGTGCAGAGGAGACAGATGGAGGCCTGAATTTTCTTTCCCATTCTATTCCTCTTGGCAAATGTCAGTCAGTCCAGAGTCCTGGCTACCCCTTGCTCCTGCCAGGCTCCTGAGATCCAGTCCTGAGAAATGTGGTATAAACCTTAAGCCAAACTTCCTACACTGGGCCTGTACTCCCTGTGGGAGAAGATAGTTTAGGAGAGAGGGCACAGGGATTAGGGGAAGAAAGCCGGCTCCCCTAGGGGCCATACACCAGTATTCAATGCTGAGGAGTGGGGTGTGGCATGTAGGAGCTGAGTCATTTCTCATGCCTGTGCCCAGCCTCACAGCAGGATCTCACTTAGCTTAGCTCTAGTCCTCATGATACAGCCTGGAGCAGCACCCCACCCTCCACCCCAGCTCAGGCTCACAGGCTTCCACCGGACAACACCAACTAGTTGACATTTCCAGGATGGGCTCATCACCATGCACAACCACAGGATGATATTAATAACAGCCTCACCTCCCTTCAGACCAGGGGAGGCCAACAGAATGGAAGATGCCTGCTGGGTACATCCTTTGCTTCTTGCTGGAAAGGCTCCAGTTTACCTCAGTCATAGCCCTGCCAAATAACTGAGAAGACTGGGGCAAAATGAGGTAATATTTTGTTCAAAAGGCCTTCTAGTATTTTCTAGGTGCCAGATACAGAATACACAAGGAACAGCTTGTAGGGAGGAACAGAAGGTAGACTGGACTTTGTCTTTCTTCCCTGATTGTCCTCATGGCCACTGCACCTGTAACTGTAGTAGGTGACCAACTGATCAACAGCTGTTAAATGGAATTGCAAGCCCCAAAGGGAGAAGTCTGGGGACAAGAAAGAGGGATTTTTGCTTTTCTTCCCTTGGGAGTAGCTGCTGTTCTTGTTATGAGAAAACAAACCACAGTTAAAGAATGGAAAGAAACAAAAATGTATTCAAACCACTCAAGAGGTTTCCACTGGTCTGAGTGTCTATGGCCCCTATGGGAGTACATGTAGTGGTGAGTCCTCTTTGCTCTATCTTAAAGACAGAGAGATCCAGTCCTGAGAGCAGAAGGAACAGCAGCCAGGGTTAATGTCTCTGGTTATGTGGTCTCTAAAGTGGAGCTGCCCAAGACAACCACTGAAGGGTAGGAAGAAATGTGGAGATGTCTATTGATATGT